CATCCAGAACAGCTGGTGAAGGAGCCCACACGGAGTGCCTTGACTCTTCCAAGTTTGCATTTTCCAGAGTCAAGTTTACTGACATTAAAGTTTTACTCTCTTTGAAGTCTGGGTCCTTGTTCTCTGACACACTTGGTCACAGTCCAAGTCCGTGCATGTCGGTGACTGGGGGATGAGTGCTTAGACATGCACCCAACATTAGCAGGGGCCAATAAGTTGGATGCCTTGGCCATTTTGTTTCCCACTAAGCATCAGAACTAGAGCCAGGGCCCAAGGCTACTGTTATTAGAACTGTAAGTTTTTGTGTTCTTTTCAGAAGCCATGTAACCACCCAGTTAACACACAACTGGCTAGTTCTGTAGCCAACTGTGAAGTGTATCGAAGAACTCTGGATAACTCTTGTTTAAAGAGCCCATACCCAGTTGGGTGGTGATGGCATGCGCCTTCAATCCCAGCATTCAGGAGGCAGAGGCAGGCAGATTTCTGTGATTTTTGAGGCCAGGCTGGTCTACATAGTGAGTTCCAGGACAGTTTGGACTTTTACACAAGATTTCTCAAAACCTTGTCTTGAGAGAGAGCCCACACCCATATTGCTTTGGTTATGTTTTACTTTCAACTTTTATTAAAGATGCCCTCATCCATGCTTTTAGGTATTATTTTTTTAAAAAAGATTTATCACATTCAGCATTCCATATGGCTGTGAGCCACCATGTGGTTGCTGGAAATTGAACTCATAACCTCTGGAAGAATAGCTAGTGCTCTTAACCTCTGAGCCATCTCTCTAGCCCCCAACAAACTATATATTTAAAAGAACAAATGAAGCAATGGAAACACTCTTATCTCTGGTGATGTCAAACCTCCCCATCTGATGTGGGAGTGATTTCTTATTAATAAAGAAACTGCCTAGACCCATTTGATAGGCCAACCCTTAGGTAGGCGGAGTAAACAGAACGGAATGCTGGGAGAAAGAAGCTGAGTCAGGGAGTCGCCATGATTCTCCCACTCCAGACAGACGCAGGTTAAGATCATTCCTGGTAAGCCAGCTCTTGGGCTACACAGATTAATAGAAATGGGTTAGATCAATATGTAAAAGCTAGCCAATAAGAAACTAAAACTAATGGGTCAGGCAGTGTTTAAAAGAATACAGTTTCCGTGTAATTATTTCGGGTAAAGCTAGCCATGCGGGCGGCCGCATGCCAGGGACGCAGCCCTGCCGCTCGTAACACAACAGAGTGGCGCCCGACATGATGGACTAAATCCACTTAAAAACCTGAGAAGGCTTAAAAATAAGGAAGAGAGACTTTAACACAGATTTTTGCTGTTTGTTGGTGGCGTGCTGTAGAGAGATTTCCTGATTCGGCAACAGCAGCAGAAAAAAAAAAAGCTGCGTCATTTTAAAGTGCGGCTTCTTGGGACTGTGCCGCCAGTGCAAACTCTGGCTTTAAAGCATTTCAATGGATTTTATGGGACTGGATGTTTGTGTTCCCGCTTGGGATCGGAAGGAGAGTGCTCTCAGCGCTCCCTGCCTGCACCTGGGCAGATGGCAGAATCAGGCTTAGGCAGGCGGAAGAGCATGGTAAAAGAGACGTGTTTTCAGACTGCGCAGTGCTCTGCGTGTCAGATTTGGTTGTAACTTGGATAAAAAGAGTTTCTGTGCTGCATGCTCAGTCTCAAAATTAAACTACTGAGTGCGGCTCCAATGAGGACTTGCTGTGTGCCTGGAACTGTGCACAGCTCAGGGGCACCAAATGGATCTGAGGCAGGAGTGGCTGCTCCTTGCTGAACTGTGCTGGTTGGCAGGAACTATCGTAATTACCATAATAACAGCACAGTTAAGGTTTAGACTGGGCAGGACACAGGTGGTACCGTATTACCTGTACATGGTGCAACTTAAGTTTTTAAGAAGTGCTTAACATTTTAAAAAATGCTCCTGGATAGTAAAAATATTACAGATTCACAATAAAACAGATTCAGACATAACAGACCTCAGTGGATCACAACATTGGATGAATGTACATAGGCTTGAGAGAGAGAAGAATAAGAATATAGAAAATAAAGCAAATGTCTTAAAAAAAAGGGTAAAGTCTTTAAAGAGACAGAGTACAGATAGTTAAAAGATTAAAAGAAATAAAAAAAAATAAGCCACGTAAAAATGGAAAATTCACAGAGAGTCTGGATTATGTACATTGTGTTTTCTTTAAAATTTTTGACTGTAAAGGAGCTAAGTACAGACAGACATTTCATTACATGGGCTGCCAAGCTAAACCATAATGGATATAAAGGTATTACGATTTCAAAATTTGGGTCTAAGGATATGATACTTTGGAAAGGGTCTTCTTTTGTTTTCACAGAGGACCAGACCCTGTGGATTTCTTCTATCCCAATTTGGTATGATAGACCACGACCTCCCGAAAAGTTGCTGTGAACATCTTCACAAAATTACTTCACTCAACTGCCAACTGAGATGAACCTGACACACAGGTTACACCCTAAACGATCTGATTAACAGCGCCCCCATTCAGCAGAAAGTAGTTTGGAGAGAAAAAACTGCGCCCATGTTCCCAAAATATTGTTTGTAAATGTTCTTTTACATTTAAAGGGGGAAATGATATAGGTATAAGTAATTTGCATTGGTGTGGATTTTACAGTCAATTTTGTTATATGTATATGTATTTCTGATCTTGATTGGGGTATTGTGATTGTGTAGTTCATTTAAAAATGTAATGTATAATTAAAAAATGTAGGTTAATGGTTAATCATCAATAATGGTCAAGCTTGTAGTCATGTTAATTGGATTTTCTAGATATATAGAGATACATTTCAGTTAGACAGACATTCTTCATATCTTTCAAAGACTGCAGAATATGGCATTTAATGTTTTAATAACTTAGGACTTTTCATGACAATGAGACATATCTGCTCCTGGTGGCACCAATCTACTTCGAGAGGAGGATGGGCATCGAAGAGGATCCTTATGGAGTTGGATGGCCATTTGGGCAAGAGACTGCTCTTGCCTGGACTGTTACATAAACTGGACACAGAGAACCCGCAGAGAGAGGACTGCTGAACTTGCCTAAAGGTGAGACGGTCTTTTGGGGTTCATGACTCATGAAAGAGTCTGCGAGACATTCTGCAGGACACAGCAGATAGTGACTAAACTGTCTTTGAAATTTCCTGCTTCATGGAAATGTCTGCTGGATACTATGGGTCTGAAGGCTGAAGATGGATGCCCCAACCATACAAAAGAACTTTGGGTGACTGTCCAGGCAGCAAGATGTCTCTGTCATTTCTAGAGTTTTCTTATTTCTTGTTTACTTAGGTAGTATTATATCCTTCTGGAGTCTTTGATGGAGTTGAAGAATGAATAGATAGTTATAGTTTTCCTTAGTTATGATAAAAGATAAAATAGATATAAATATTGTAACTGTAATTCTTGCTTGATAACTGTTTTGCTATATGTAATTTTACTATGTTAAAGTTAAAGCCTTTCTTTTTTGTTTAAACAGAAAAAGGGGAAATGATGTGGGAGTGATTTCTTATTAATAAAGAAACTGCCTAGACCCATTTGATAGGCCAACCCTTAGGTAGGCGGAGTAAACAGAACGGAATGCTGGGAGAAAGAAGCTGAGTCAGGGAGTCGCCATGATTCTCCCACTCCAGACAGACGCAGGTTAAGATCATTCCTGGTAAGCCAGCTCGTGGGCTACACAGATTAATAGAAATGGGTTAGATCAATATGTAAAAGCTAGCCAATAAGAAACTGAAACTAATGGGTCAGGCAATGTTTAAAAGAATACAGTTTCTGTATAATTATTTCGGGTAAAGCTAGCCATGCGGGCGGCCGCATGCCAGGGACGCAGCCCTGCCGCTTGTAACACAACACCCATCTTTTTGTTGTTGCTGCTGTTGTTTTCCTTATACAGTTTCTCTGTGTGGCCCTGTCTGTCCTGGAACTTGCTCTGTAGACCAGGCTGGCCTTGAACTCAAGAGTGCCTCTGCCTCCTGAGTGTTGGGATTTAAGACATGTGCCACCACCGCTGGGTTCATCTTTTTGTTTTTTAGACAGTGTTTGTGTAGACCAGACTAGCCCAGAACTCAGAAGTCCTCCTGCCTCTGTCTCCCAAGAAATGCTCTACCACACCTGGTCCCTCACCCCTATCTTTTTGAGAGAGGCTCTCCTGACCCCAGTGTTGCCTGGATTCTTCAATCCCTGAGCTCAAAATGATCCTTGCACTCTGGTCTCTTGAGTAGCTCAAGCCATGGCCCTGTACCACCACATCCTGCCTGGTTTTTGTTTCTCATTGAGACTTTTTTTCATGGTGTTTTGCCTGCATGTATGTCTGTGTGAGAGTGTCAGATTCCTCGACAGGAGGTACAGTGTGAGCTGTCATGTGGGTGCTGGGAATTGAACTCAGGTCCTCTGGAAGAGTAGCCACTGTTCTTAACTGCTGAGCCACCTCTCCAGCCCTCTTCAGACAGTTCTTATACTCATTAACTTTATATTGTTTTTTTCTGGGGAACATGGTTAGGATATCAGAAACTCAGAAGGGCAGAGCTTATACTAGCAAAAAAAAAAAAAAAAAAAAACAATCATAGAAACCTCAAGGTCCAAATCAGGAGCAGAAAGAGAGAGCACGAGCAAGGAACTCAGGACCGCGAGGGGTGCACCCATACACTGAGAGAATGGGGATGTTCTATCGGGAACTCACCAAGGCCAGCAGGCCTGGGTTTGAAAAAGCCTGGGATAAAACCGGACTCGCTGAACATAGCGGACAATGAGGACTACTGAGAACTCAAGAACAATGGCAATGGGTTTTTGATCCTACTGCACATACTGGCTTTGTGGGAGCCTAGGCAGTTTGGATGCTCACCTTACTAGACCTGGATGGAGGAGGGTGGTCCTTGGACTTCCCACAGGGCAGGGAACCCTGATTGCTCTTTGGGCTGACGAGGGAGGGGAACTTGGTTGGGGGAGGGGGAGGGAAATGGGAGGCGGTGGCGGGAAAGAGACAGAAATCTTTAATAAATAAATAAAATAAAAAAAAATCTGGGCTCAGTGGGGCAGTAGAGTCCAAAGCCTTCAGGCACAGGTCCAGAGTTTCCTGGTGCAGTCCCAGCAGCACTTTCATCTGGATAGCAGGAAGACATCCAACCACCTGTAGTTCTGTCCTCTCCCAGTCTTGGGGACATTCTCCAGAGATGACATACTCCAGATGACAGCAGTGTCTGTACACGTGCTTGCACAGATCAATGCACAGATCCCTGTCGGTCACTCAGGGACACACTGGGTGGGTCTGCTTCAGAGAACGCATCTTCAGGGGCCAGATGACAGCAGTGTCTGTACACGTGCTCACACAGATCAATGCACAGATCCCTGTCGGTCACTCAGGGACACACTGGGCGCGTCTGCTTCACCAGAACGCATCTTCAGAGGCAGTCACGTCAGTCTTTGTCTCCAGGCACCGGGTCAGCCAGAATGCTCCGTCCAGCCGTCAGCTGCTCATCTGTGCTGCTCCTGGAGCCAGAGCAGTACTGCTGCCAAGCCAGTGCCGTCCCTGGCACTTATTTCTGCAGAGGCGATGTTCTGCTTGGCACAAGCAATGATGTCTGGAAGCCTGATTATTGACTTCATCTCCTCCACGGTCATGTAACAGGGAAGGTCGCTGTGGTTAAAGAAGCACTTCATCAAATTTGCCCCGCCTGCAGCTGCACCTCCCCACTCTGGATCCCATGTTCTAGGCTGCACTCGAGGAGGTAACCCCTTGGAACATCATCATCATCCCCTAGACACATACATTTTATTGAAGAGTATCAGGACCGAGGCTTTTGCAAGTTCTTCTGCAGAAAGGAGACCCAAGAGCTGCACACAGGATGCAGAGAGTTGGGTGGGGTTAGAGGCATCCATCACGAACTAGGAAGAGGAAACATAAGCTAAGGTTTTCCTGGCCAACTCTCCACCTGGGCACCACACACATGACTCAGGAAGAGCACACACAACTTTTCTAAAATGATCATCTATGATGCTTGAGGTCAAACCTAGGGCTTCGAGTGAGCTAGGCAAGTGGCCCCAGAGTGGCTTTTAAGCCAAAGGTTTTGGAAACAGGCAGCAAAGGGAAGTTGTATGAGGATGACTTGGGGGTCCGTGGTGTCTTTAAATGCATAAAATCTACTCTTGTGGCCATTAATTCTCCATCTCAGAATTTGGAACTCCTTCCTTGTGGGGATGGGAACGACCATGAGGATGTAGACAGGTTGGATACTCAGGTACCAAAGCATAGATTAGATCTCATGGAGGCTGAACCCTGTTGAGGAGCTCAGACCAATGACTAAGAGCAAGCAACGCAACCCAAATACTATTCCTTAGAGCAATCACCAAAACCCTATCCCATAGCAGGATCCGCTACTCGATGGCTCGGGGTGACCCACACACTGCTCCCAAAAGAAGCTCGAAGTACTGACTCACCAGGAGCGAATGACAGTTTCCATAGTAACTGGACCAGATGGGACTCATGCAACCCCCGAGCTCTCGAATGGTGATTTTCCTGTGGGCCACGATGTCAGTGAGGTTGGTGCCAACCTGTGTATGTGGGAAGGAAACACGACGCATGAGATCAATGTAAGCGCTGTGCCGTTGTGAACTCCTGGGTAGCAGCTCCGCGATGTGTATGTGTGTGTGTCGGGGGAGATAGATGGTGGCTAAACCTCGATGGTTAGTGACAACTGTTCAAGCAGAGCTCGCCACCAAGAAAAGCAGCTCTCTGGGGACTCCAGGCCATGGTCAACATCAGAGCTGGGCCCTGAGGGTGACAGTGAAATAAGTCCCTGGGGAGAGGAGAGAAAAGTGCCCACACGAAGGCGGGCTTCGGGTTCCCCGCAGGCTCAGCGGTTCCGTGCCGGAAGGCAGTACCCACAGTACCCAACCCACTGACCACCGGCACCGCGGGTTCCACCTGGAAAAGCCCGAGGAGGCCACGTCAAGTCGCCAAGGTAACCCGTGTGAGTCAGACCCGAGAGAGGCGGACACCTACTGTGGGCCGCGTCGGCGGAGGGTCCCCCAAGTCGCCCTTGCCATCTCCCGAGCTCAGCTGTTCGGGCGGTCAAGGTCCTGAGTGCGGCAGAGGACGGGTTTCCCGGCCCGAGGAACCCCGGTGCGTCCCCAGCCCTGCCCGGGGCCCGGCCCACCCACACGGTGCGGAAGGATATTCTGCAGGCGTTTCACCAGCAGGGTCTTCCCGACCCCCGCAGCCCCTAGCAGGAGACACATCCCGGGTCCTCCGGGCCCCGGTCCCTCGGAGCTGCGACGCCGGGAGGCCCGCCTCCGGCGAATTCTCATTGGCTAGACCCCTCGCCCGAACGGTTCATTGGTTAGTCGCACCGACCAATGGCCGCTCAGAGTCCGCGAGCATGCGCAAGGCCTCGGCTTGGGGGCCGGTCTCGGCGCGGCGCGGCGACGTGCGCCTGCGCGCGCGGACCCAGAAAGGCGGAAGCGGAAGTTGGGGGGCGCGTCAGCTCCGAAAGAGGGAGCGCCCGCGGCGTCGGTCCGGAGCGGGGTCGCCATGGGGCGAGGCAGCGGCACCTTCGAGCGTCTCCTAGGTAACGTGTCCACCAGCCAGCTCGCCGTCAGCTCTCTCGCGCACCCGCCAGACGCTGCCTCTATAGGTCTCAGGGGAGCGGGCCGGCCGCCCTGCTCGGCCTCCAGCCTCCCTGGAACACGACACATTCCCGGGCCTCGGGTGTGGCCTCCGGGGCTGTGCACCGCGGCCCGGGGGTCCAGTGAGGGATGCTCTTTGGGAGTCCGCGAGGACCTCGCCCCCTCCGGTCCGACGGGCCGGAACCGATTGGGCCAAAGTCCTGAGTCATGAAGTGTATGACTCAGGTCCTAGCTTCATGTGGGTCGTTTGACCCTAATGCTTGGTCGAAGGCTGTGGAACCGATACTGCCCTCCTTAAACCTTTGCGAGCCCCTTGGGGGTTGCTTCCTAGGACCTGTTTATTCCTTGTGTTCTAAAAGTGTCCCTGGGTTTTGGAAGACATTTTCTCTCCCTGTTGAAGGAGCTTGTTGATCCTATTTGAACCTCCTGGGAAGTGTAAATTTTAGGAGGGAAAATGGGTTTGCCTTGCATGCCCCATTCCCGCAATAAAAATATAGTGTGTCCCCGAACAGGCGCCAGAGTGCCTCCATAGTCTGCTCGTTTGCTTTCCGAACTAAGGTTTTCAAAGGGGATTGTGGAAACATTTTTCTTATTCTCCCCTCTGGGGAGGTTCAGCACTTCAGGTACCAATCCAGTAATTTGCCGAATCGGTGACAAAGTTGGTGTGTCTTTGGATAGCTCATCCTTGTAGAAGAGAGGGGATGAAGATGTGAAGAGTGTTAGCTGGGGAATCCAGAGGTCTCTCCAGCGCCTGCCCTGCTAAGAGCTAATAATATAAAGGACAAACCATCTCAGTGATGGGGCTCTGAGAGCCAGGTGACCCTGTTGTTGTACGTACTGTTTCGAAGTGCCCAGCAAGCTGTGATATAGGGTATTCATGTCCCTCTGTTTTACCTTGAAAAGGGATGGAGGCAGTGCCTGTCTCCTGAGGGTCTGTGGGAACTCGAGTGATTCAGAGTTTGAAATGACAGCTGATCGGAGCAAGCACAACAGCCATGAGTCTCTGTAATTTTCACATTATTTGCGTCTTGCACGGGGTGTGTGTGTGTGTGTCTGTGTGTGCCATTTCCAGGATTGTCACTGTGCTTCAAGAGGATTGTCTGTTTGGTTCAGCTGTTTAAAAAGGGGAAATTGGTAACCTGGGAGCCACCTAGGAAACAGCACAGTGGGTCCCCTGAGTGACATCTCTCTCCTTTAGACAAAGCCACCAGCCAGCTTCTATTGGAGACGGACTGGGAGTCCATTCTGCAGATCTGCGACCTGATCCGTCAGGGGGACACACAGTAAGTGAGCAGGGCCTGTCCTATAAAGCGAGGGGAGGTCACATACAATGCTGACATCTTTTTGTTCCCACTCCACTTCAAAGGTTAAGTTGACCACAGGAGCTTTTTTTTTTTAATATTATTTATTATGTATACAATATTCTGTCCGTGTGTATGTCTGCAGGTCAGAAGAGGGCACCAGACCCCATCACAGATGGCTGTGAGCCACCATGTGGTTGCTGGGAATTGAACTCAGGACCTTTGGAAGAGCAGGCAATGCTCTTAACCACTGAGCCATCTCTCCAGCCCCCACAGGAGCTTTTTTGTATGTTTGTTTTTGTTTTTGAGACAGAGTTTCTCTGCGTAGCTTTGGAGCTGTCCTAGAACTCAATCTGTAGACCATGCTGGCCTCGAACTCACAGAGATCCTCCTGCCTCTGCCCCCTGAGTACTGGGATTAAAGACATGCGGCACCACCGTCTGTCTCCCCAAGGGTTCTTTATGTAGACAATTGCCTTATCTACATCTGGGTATTTTGTTATGTTGGGACAATTAAAACTGTACAGTTTGGAGATATTTAGAGGTCTGAAGGACCAAGATGGTGTGTGGAAGTCTGGGTGTGGAGTTTAGTTGGTAGAGTATTTGTCTAGTGTGTGTAAAATCTTGGGTTCATCCCCAGCACAGCATAAACCAGACATGATGGCACTGCCTGTAGTCACAGCACTTGAGGTGAAGACAGGGTCTTTTTTAGTTACACACTGGACTGGAGGCCAGCCCGGGCTATATGAAACCGTGTCTCAGAAAACAAGGATGGCAGATTGCTCTCCTCACCTTATGGAGACATTTCCCCTCCATCCCTCTTACTGGTGTCTTTAGTGCTTTTATTTTTTTTTTCTTTCAGAGCAAAATATGCTGTGAATTCCATCAAGAAGAAGGTCAATGATAAGAACCCACACGTAGCTTTGTACGCTCTGGAGGTAACTAGAGCCCTGCTGCAGTGTCTTTTGGTTCCCATACTCAAAGATTCTCTTCCTCCTGCTGTGCGGCAGCCATGCCCACTTTGCTGGGCACAGATCAACTAGTGGATCACTCTGGCACTGAGTACAGTTGGAGCCCTCCTATGGGAATAGGGAAAGTATCAAAAATGCTTCTCTATCTGTAGTCCGAACATACACACATGAAGGATGGGATGGCCGTCACCTTTGACCACAAGATATTGTCAGGGCCTGCAGCCTGTCTTTGAGTGCTGTTTGGGGTTTCTAACAGGTTGAGTGGACTCAGAGGCCTGTTGCGGCCTGTCTTCCAGCAGGAAGAAGGCCCTGCCCTAGACACAGCTAGGCCTTTTTTGTTTGTTTGCTTTTTGAGACAAGGTTTCTCTGTATAACAGTTTTGGCTGTCCTGAAACTCACTCTGTAGACCAGGCTGATCTTGAACTCACAGACATCAGCCTGTTTCTGCTTCCCGAGTGCTGGGATGAAAGACGTGTGCCACCACCACCCGGCAAGCTAGGTCTTTATCTTCCTTGTGGTTTTCAGGTGATGGAGTCTGTGGTAAAGAACTGTGGCCAGACAGTCCACGATGAAGTGGCCAACAAACAGACCATGGAAGAGCTAAAGGAGCTGCTGAAGGTAGGTTTCCTAGAGTCTTGAGGGAAGACAGAGTCAGGTAGAGTGCCAGCTCTTCTAAGTGTGTGTCGCCTACAGAAGGAGGAGGTGAGGGTAAGAGTAGAGGTCCCATGGGGCTGAGTCCTCAGGGCTGTGGGCAGAGGTGGTCATGGAGTATCGTAGGAGCTGGGGAAGAGGTCTCAGGGCTGTGGGCAGAGGTGGTCATGGAGTATCGTAGGAACTGGGGAAGAGGTCTCAGGGCTGTGGGCAGAGGTGGTCATGGAGTATCGTAGGAGCTGGGGAAGAGGTTTGGAGTCGCACATTCAAGAGTGGGAGAAGTCTGAGCCATGAAGGTGCAGAAGTTAGAGTTTAGGTCTGTCTGTGGCACGCCAAGAGGGCAAAATGATAGAGCAGGAGCTGCTCCACGGAGGGTGGATGAGAGCTTACTGGAGCCTTGTGAGATTGTCCCCAGGAGGACCTGAGGCGTTGTCATGTGGATGGTGATGCAGCAGGGTTGGTGGGCTGGGCAAATGACGCTGTTTCATGTGAGACAGCTCCAGGCTTTGGTCTCATGGGAACCTTCACCCTCAACCCATGCTGCCGAGAACCTGTCTCGGGCACTGAGTTGTTAGCTGACCCTTCTAACTTGGGGCCTAAATCAGACTTTTGTTGCATAGCTGGAGGAGGGCAAAGCGTCAGGTGACCTCCCTGCTCTGCACCAGGCTGGTCTGCTTGGAGAGAAGCCCGGATCCCAGTGTAAGAGCTGTTGTGTCTCCTTGAAGCTGCTTGATCTGTGTCATCAACAGAAAGTGTTGTGACCTCCCTCAGAGGGTGCCAAGCGTGAGGCTGTGCTGTGGTTCTCAGGGCCTGAGCCTTGTGGAGAAACATCTGGAGAGGACATCCCTGCCTCTTTCAGACAATGGCTGGAGGGAGATCTGACTCTGTGGTGTCTGTGTCCTAAGACCTAAGGCAATGCTTCATGTCCCGCCTGGTGCCTCTAAGAGGCAGTCGGAGCCCCAGACTTTAGTGATGATGCGGACAGAGAACTATGTTTCTGGCCAAGGCGCCATGCAGAGATGGAGAAGGAGTCATGGCTGTAGGTCAAGCAATGTAGCTTCTGGGGATTCTCTGATTTCTCTCAGGATTAAGAATTGTGACTCCAGGCTGGAGAGGTGGCTCAGAGGTTAAGAGCACTGGCTGCTCTTCTAGAGGTCCTGAGTTCAATTACCGGCAACCACACAGTGGCTCACAACCATCTGTAATGAGATTTGGTGTCCTCTTCTGACCTCCAGGCACACATGCAGGCAGAACACTGTACATAATAAATAAATAAATCTTAAAAAAAAAAAAAAAGAATTGTGACCCTGACCCTGCACAAGTGTAGATTCTCAGGAGGGTCGCTCCTGAGATTAGATGGGTGCCTGGTAGCCACCCAGGGACTCTCTCTGGTCTTTGTGCCAATTGTCTCTACTCAGGGCACTTGGTCTTGCAAGCTGCCTCTTCCCTCTGAGACCTCAGACACCTCGAGTCTCCCGCAGCCCTTCCCACTTTCTTCTTGCTCTACAGAGGCAGGTGGAAGTTAATGTTCGGAACAAGATCCTGTACCTGATCCAGGCCTGGGCACACGCCTTCCGGAATGAGCCCAAGTACAAGGTGGTCCAGGACACGTACCAGATCATGAAGGTTGAAGGTAAGTTAGAACTGCACAGCTCCAGGCTGGGAAATTGTCCGAGTGATGAGGGGCTCGGGGTAGACTGGTCTTCCTGAGTGACTGGCAG